AGCACTCTTTACATGGTATCCAAAATATTTCCCCTAGGTTTTGACATCCCACTATGCCAGAGAGACCATGATGAACTGAAACCAAATCAAGTTAGCAGCACTGAAGCCATCAGCATGGGAGAACTTTGGTAATGTGAGAAGAAGCTGAGATGGCTGGCCTTGTTCAGCCTGGAGAAGTGAAGATCTTGTGGGGGACATACAACAGCATTGTACAATTCCCAGCAAGATGGAGTTGGGCTCTTGTCCAAGGACAAGCGGCAATGGGCTGCAAGAACAGACATGAAGGCTAGCTATAGGGAAAAACCTTTCTAGCATGAGGATGGTTAAGCACTGGAAGCTTTTTCCAAGAGAATGTGCACTGTGTCTGTCCTGGAATGCAATCAAGGTATGTTTGGATAAAGCCCTGAGTGCTCTGGTCTCACTCTGCTTTGAGTAGAAGGTTGGTTGAGACACCTCCTGGGGTCCCTTCTGGCCTGAATGATGCTACCCTTCCTTGCTCTTGATATTTCCAAATTACGGAAAACTCCCAGGTTCTCCCTGACCCCAGAAGTAATTCACAGGAAGTGCAGGGCTGCTCCACAGGTGCCCCCAAACAGCCCTGACCACATCCTTTTCTTCCCTTTTCATTTGTCCAACGCCAAGTTCTGCACTTTTACTACCCTGATACCCCTCCGAAACTAACAGACTACCATGTTAATCCTTTCAGAGCAGGTCACTCAAGAAATGTCAGCATCCATGTAGAGAGTCTATAGATGAGCCAGGCACTGAAGCCACCTTTGCAGAAGCACAGATGAGGCTTTGAACAGCTTAGTGAGCCTGGGAACCACCATGCCTTGCCTCCTGAGATTCCTGGAGACAGCTGTGCTTTTTGTCCAGCAAAGCGTGATTCTTCTTTGGGTGTATGGGTCAATCTGCTGACATATGCAATGTTTCATGTTGTGAACAGAAATAAAACCAACTTTTTGACTCGGTTAGTTTCATTTCACATGCTGAAAGGCAGGGCAGATGAAGGGACCTGAGAGCTTCTACGCTCCCTGCTGTGGAGTTATGACTTCAGGGACTGAAAAGGCAGGTAATGGTGTTGTATCTGCATAGCACAGGAAGATTTTACCATTCTCCATTGCTTTGCACAAACCTGGTTGTCTTCGGCTATAAAAG